CCCCCCCCCCCCCCCCCAATCATGAATATTCATGGAGTCTGTAGCTGACCTGTCTTTATTTTCTTATTAGAGAGCTCTCTTTCGAGCATTAAACAATAACTGATTCCTTTATTGAGTGACTGGGACAGCTTGCTGTTGAATGAATTTGTTAATAGCTTGCAAAAATCAAAACAAAATAAAAACGAATCCAACCCAAATTATTTTCAAAAGCCCCAGGTACAAGCAGAAGTAATGAGAACAACTCTACTAGTAGAACGGCACACTTTCACTCTGGGCCGTGCGATTGCGGTTTTGTTTTGGGGGGGGGGGGTGGGGGTGGCAACATCCGGGTAGGTGCAAAAAATCTTTATCAGATATAAAATGTATTGTGAATCAAACGAAAAAATGCCATTTACTTTACGAATACAAAGGGCGCAAAAAAAGTTTTACTTTTAAACTGGTCCGTTAAGCACAACAATTTCTTTTTATGTATTTTGGTGGGCGCCAAGTTTCAGGCCTCCCAAGGTGCGCCACTTTTCGTCTCCACGGCCCTGCTTTCACCCCTTCGCAGGTATGACACTAACCAATATTGACAGAGGAGGCCAATAAATCAGTACAGATAGGTGTTGGAGTCAACCGGCTAAGCTTTGCGGTCATTCACAACAGTGAGAGGTTGTATTTATTAAATCGTTGAAATGTGATAAACCGAGAAAATTCCATTGATATTATATACAGAGAGCCTTAACATGATGATTGACATTCGTCAGAGGTTGATTGATAGCCCTTATATGACAAGATGACAGGCGTGATAGGTCAGCCGTAACAGCGTACAATGTGGGTTTCTTGGACAGACAGCTATGGTATGATGCAATCATAGCCGTGAAAGGCTCATAATGATACACTAACATGACTCTGAAAGTTACATGATATTGCATCCTAAGGTGTAGGCAGCTCTGCTTCATAGGGGCACCTAAGGTGCAAGCAGCTCTGCTTCATAGGGGCACCTAAGATGCAAGCAGCTCTGCTTCATAGGGGCACCTAAGATGCAAGCAGCTCTGCTTTATAGGGGCTCCTAAGATGCAAGCAGCTCTGCTTTATAGGGGCTCCTAAGATGCAAGCAGCTCTGCTTCATAGGACCACCTAAGATGCAAGCAGCTCTGCTTCATAGGGGCTCCTAAGGTGCAAGCAGCTCTGCTTCATAGGGGCACCTAAGATGCAAGCAGTTCTGCTTCATAGGGGCACCTAAGATGCAAGCAGCTCTGCTCCATAGGGGGTCCTAAGATGCAAGCAGCTCTGCTTCATAGGGGCACCTAAGATGCAAGCAGCTCTGCTTCATAGGGGGTCCTAAGATGCAAGCAGCTCTGCTTCATAGGGGCACTTCAAGGAAGTGATAGCATCTATCTACACTATCATTTAAAAAAACAACCTCTTAATCAACTTGATTGTATGTTAGTTGAACTCAATTTGATTAAATGGCACAACTTGATTGTTTTCAAGAGACTCTAAATTTGTAAGATACTTTAATCTCGTGGCAAAATTTGATTTATCAAAATTTGATCGATCATTGAGTCACATTATGTTCTCTTCCTGAAATTGAAAAATACACACATTGTTGATCAGTGACGCTACTATGAGCATAAAGCATGACCAAGAGCAATTACTTGAAATGTATCAACATAACATGATCAGCGAGGCTACTGAGAGCACAGCACATGGCCAAGAGAAGTACTTAAAAGGTATCAACATAACACGACTGTGTTATGTGTGTTTAGTTGAAACACTGACGTCAACGTTATCCTGCCCTTGACAAATTATGGTTTGTTTAAATAGCTAAAATGCTAAAGGCCATTTGAAATTTAGGTTATTATTATATAACTGGTAATTATTTTTTAAATATTTTTTTTTCATGAAACAAAAATGACTCATTACACCTGTGCCTAACATCAGAGGTAAATAGTTGTGGACATAACATTTGACAATGTTTAAAATATGTGTTTTGAAACAGCAGCAGTGAGAGAAGCCATGACCTCGACCACTCGCCAGTAACTCCGCCATCATCAGGACCAAGGAACGGTCTTTCCGGGGTGCCCTCTTGGTATCCATAGCAACCCCCAGCACTAACCGGACTGTTGACGCCATCATGGCCGAGGAGGAAGTAGGGGTCCTATCATCTACAATGCAAGGTCAGGGTCAGATGTCTAGTCTACTTTGAATACAGTCACATCTTTTACAATCCATCATTTTATCGAGCATTGTCAGGTTTAAAAAACATAGAAAATAATTTCACCACGTAGACCTCATGTACTAAAACAAAAAGATCATTTCAAGTGATCCTTAAATAAAGAATACGCCCAAGAGGGGCAAAAATTAGTTGTTGTTTTTTATGCGCTCAAAGGGTCAAATTTATTTTAATGGAATCCTGAGGGCAAACGAAGGTAAGACTGACAGCCCGAAACTTACATATAGGCAACAAAGAAGTAAATAGAGGTACAGGCAAGAAGATTGGTAATCCTGTTGGACGGGTCTTTCAATGCCTTAAACCACAGTAGAAGCTGAAGGGACTGAGATGAACGTCCATTGCAAGATGGTGTCATTCAATAAAGATGAAAATAATAAAAAGATAGATACTCCTTATCTCTAGTGAGGTGTGCGACGAGAAAATCTCTGAGCAGAAGTGTCTTATTATCTGCCTTTTGAATGCATCTCTCCCCTGTGGCGTCTATGAAGTGTCTTATTAGTTGCCTTTTGAATGCATCTCTCCCCTGTGGCGTCTATGAAGTGTCTTATTAGTTGCCTTTTGAATGCATCTCTCCCCTGTGGCGTCTATGAAGTGTCTTATTAGTTGCCTTTTGAATGCATCTCTCCCCTGTGGCGTCTATGAAGTGTCTTATTATCTGCCTTTTGAATGCATCTCTCCCCTGTGGCGTCTATGAAGTGTCTTATTATCTGCCTTTTGAATGCATCTCTCCCCTGTGGCGTCTATGAAGTTTCTTCTTAGCTGCCTTTTGAATGCATCCCTCACCTGTGGTGTCTATGAAGTGTCTTATTAGCTGTCTTTTAAATGCATCCCTCACCTGTGGTGTCTATGAAGTGTCTTATTAGCTGTCTTTTGAATGCATCCCTCACCCGTGAACTCTTTGTAACTTGGTTAGTGGCTACCACTTAAAAGATTCTCACCCTTGTAGCATTATGTAAATTTGTGAGTAGCTACCAGCTCAATGATTCTCGCACCAGTGGTATTTGATTATGTCACGTTGTTAGTTGCTGCCTGACCGATATGCTGCTGTCATCCTCAGGGTTTAAGAGCGTCCAGATGTCCATCTACGATCAAATGGTCAGCATCGCGTCCATATTTGAAAGCGTCGTTACCGGCTCGCTTGAAGGCATCGGGGGCACGTTGAGTGGCGAGGAGACCAGGCCGCCGGCAATGTGGGAGCTGCCCTCCCTCCCTGAGATCTCCATGCCTGACCACAAAGAAATTAACTGTGTGTACACAGGCGCAGCTGCGTGAGTGCTTCTTTATATCTGAAGAATTTACACGTGTGACAATTTGGCTGGTTTAAACAAATGTTGTCTTTACTGCGTGTGACAATTTGGCTGGTTTAAAATAATGTTGTCTTTACTGCGTGTGAAAATTTGGCTTGTTTAAAAATAATGTTTTCTTTACTCGCTCCTATTGAAATAGTTTTCGGAATCCCTAACGAATTATTGACTAAGTCTTGCACCCAAATTGTTCGTCCGTCTCATGGGATGGTGACCATGGCTTCTCCTTGAGTAGTAGCCTTGACTTGAGCTGTATTTTGTTTTAAAGTGAGGGATATTTGCTCAATTCGTTAGCCTACTCTCTCGTCATTGCCTATTGTTCTAATGGCAAGACTTAGGCAAGACGACTGTGATAGACCAGGATACAGCTGAGGACCAGAAATGTGTCTTGTGTGTCTTGTGTGTGTCTTGTGTGACTTGTGTGACTTGTGTGACTTGTGTGTCTTGTGTGTCTTGTGCGTCTCACTGTAATCTTTATGCGTTCCACGTCGTAGGCGTTGTTGGAATTTTGTATTGGGTCAATGTCAAACCGCCTAAGGGCTTGATTTCAGAGTTGCCTTCTCTTAGATGAGTAGCCATCCAAGGTTAGCGGGAACCATCAACCCGTTTTCCCCCATGTCTACAGTACAAAGTACAATGCGTTTTAAATTTGAAAAAACAACATGGATTTATCATTATTATTTTTAAAATTTTGAATTTCAAAGAGAACTGATAAACTTGGCCAATCACGTGCTGACTTATTACTAATATGTGAAAGGAAAGTGTAAATGAAAACATAAAAATAAAGTCATGACATCATAACGTACAAGTCATTGTCTCCACTAAGCGTATCATCAGGTTTACTGACATCCAAAAATTCCAACTCTCGGCCCGTGGGAAATGTGAGCCCCATAGGTTTGAAAATCATGTCCCGTGTCATCCAGTGTTAAGAAACGTTTCATTTTTCCTTTGCATATGTTTGTTCATGGTTTCCCCAGTTACCGTACAGTATCGGATGTTGCTTGTTCGCTGCATCAAGGTCAAAGGTTGCATCTAAAAATCAAGTATGGAAGCTATGTCTGTAAAAATGCGTGACAAGGTTTGACTTTTTGAACATCTCTGATATTTCAGATTCACTCTCACCATGCTTCTCTTCGCCTTCATGACGCTTTGCTACGTTCGGCTCAAGAGACGGAGTCAGCTCAACAATAGACACGTCGGGCTGGAGGCTGGTGGACAGGTACATTGTGTGGATAGCGGTGGAGGCTTAATGTGAATTGGTTTAACGGAGTCCAGCTGCATTGGAATAAGTAGTCTGTCTACCTGTCATGGATTAGTTGTCTACCTGTCATGGAATAGTAGTCTACCCGTCATGGATTAGTTGTCTACCTGTCATGGAATAGTAGTCTACCCGTCATGGATTAGTAGTCTACCTGTCATGGATTAGTTGTCTACCTGTCATGGATTAGTGGCCTACCTGTCATGGAATAGTAGTCTACCCGTCATGGATTAGTAGTCTACCTGTCATGGATTAGTAGTCTACCCATCATGGATTAGTAGTCTACCTGTCATGGATTAGTAGTCTACCTGTCATGGATTAGTGGCCTACCTGTCATGGATTAGTTGTCTACCTTTCATGCATTAGTAGTATACCTGTCATGCATTAGTTGTCTACCTGTCATGGATTAGTAGCATACCTGTCATGGATTAGTAGTCTACCTGTCATGGATTAGTAGTCTACCTGTCATGGATTAGTGGCCTACCTGTCATGGATAGTTGTCTTCCTGTCATGGATTAGTAGCCTACCTGTCATGGATTAGTTGTCTAATTGTCATGGATTAGTAGTCTACCTGTCATGGATTAGTAATCTACATATCATGGGTTATTCATTTGCTGCCTCTTGGATACTACTTCTCAGCTAAGTGTTATTTTTTATCTTTTTATTTTACTCTGTTTTTTCTGCATGTTTGCTAACGAAGACTTCCGGCCGACACGTTCATTGTTTTACTAATTTCCCATTGTGCTAACCTGATTGCAGTCTCTCCCTTTATTACCCTGTCATGGATTAGTATTCTACACCACTTTCACCGAGTGCTTTAGTAACATATTTACTAAAGAACCTTGAGGCCATGGTTTAAAATAGAATAACTACCGACCAGACACACATCAATGGCAGTCACCTTTTCCTTCCCGTGTCCACCATTTCTGTCACCCCAGTATGTAAATAGACCTTAAAGAAAGAGATTTAAACAAAAAATGCTAAGCTGTCTGGTTAAACAAAACTCTCTCTCTATCTCTCTCTCCCCCTTTCTTTCTCTCTCTCTCTCTCTCTCTCTCTCTCTCTCTCTGGTCATCACTGAATATTAACACGAGTGAGTCCATATCATGAGTGATTAGGGATTCTCAAATTGTTTAAAGATTTAACAGATGCGTCGAAAACAGGGTGAGACCCCCTTCTACCCTTACAAAAAAAGAGAGGTTTGGGTAGCGCGTGATATAATGACAGCGGATATATTAAGGAAATATGTTGATACCATCTGACAGAAAATATATTGAGGGCATATGTTGACACCATCTGATGACAGTGAATATATTGATGGAATATGTTGATACCATCTGATGACAGAGAATATATTGAGGGCATATTTTGATACTATCTGATGACAGAGGATATATTGAGGGCATATTTTGATACTATCTGATGACAGAGGATATATTGAGGGCATATTTTGATACTATCTGATGACAGAGGATATATTGAGGGCATATTTTGATACTATCTGATGACAGAGGATATATTGAGGGCATATGTTGATACCATCTGATGACAGAGAATATATTGATGGAATATGTTGATACCATCTGATGACAGAGGATATATTGAGGGCATATTTTGATACTATCTGATGACAGAGGATATATTGAGGGCATATTTTGATACTATCTGATGACAGAGGATATATTGAGGGCATATGTTGATACCATCTGATGACAGAGAATATATTGATGGAATATGTTGATACCATCTGATGACAGAGGATATATTGAGGGCATATTTTGATACTATCTGATGACAGAGGATATATTGAGGGCATATTTTGATACTATCTGATGACAGAGGATATATTGAGGGCATATGTTGATACCATCTGATGACAGAGAATATATTGATGGAATATGTTGATACCATCTGATGACAGAGGATATATTGAGGGCATATTTTGATACTATCTGATGACAGAGGATATATTGAGGGCATATTTTGATACTATCTGATGACAGAGGATATATTGAGGGCATATGTTGATACCATCTGATGACAGAGGATATATTGAGGGCAAATGGTAATACAGTGTAATGAAATAGGATACAATGATGGCATATTTTGATACCATCTGATAAAAGATGAGATATGTTGCTACAATCTAATTACAGAGGATATATTGATGGCATATGTTGATACCATCTAATGAAAGATGACATATATTGATACCATCTAATGAAAGATGACATATGTTGATACCATCTAATGAAAGATGAGATATCTTGATACCATCTAATGAAAGATGACATATATTGAAACCATCTAATGAAAGATGAGATATCTTGATGCCATCTAATGAAAAATGACATATCTTGAGACCATCTAATGAAAGATGACATATCTTGAGACCATCTAATGAAAGATGACATATCTTGAGACCATCTAATGAAAGATGACATATCTTGAGACCATCTAATGAAAGATGACATATCTTAAGACCATCTAATGAAAGATGACATATCTTAAGACCATATAATGAAAGATGACATATCTTGAGATCATCTAATGAAAGATGACATATCTTGAGACCATCTAATTAAAGATGACATATCTTGAGACGATCTAATGAAATATGGCATATATTGAGACGATATAATGAAAGATGACATATCTTGAGACCATCTAATGAAAGATGACATATATTGATACCATCTAATGAAAGATGACATATGTTGATACCATCTAATGAAAGATGACATAGTGATGAATTTATTGGTTTCAAAAGTTTATCTTTACTTGACATGTACACTGTGGTGTTGCTAGGGTTAGTGGCGCCCAGGGCCTGGCCAAGAATGTTGCCGCCCCTTTCAACAAAACATTTCTTCAGTAGGCCAAAAATGCTGCCCCTCTATATAAACAAGAAACACACAAAAATTCCGCCCGGGGTAGGTCAACCCCCTCTGCAGCCCTTCCTACGCCCCTGCATGTACAAATGTGTACACACATAACAGCTTTAGGTTCCAAATCCCAGTGTCCCAACTTTTCCTTGCCTCCCTCTCTCCACTCATAATAATATATACTAAATGTTCTAACCATTTAAAAAATTATTTTTTTTTTACATTTTTGACGCCATTTTGATATTGTTAGTTTTTCAAGTAAATGAGGGGGGGGGGGGCAAGAAAGGGGCGTCACTTCTACATTAAGATACCCAGTGAAGGCTCATACCCAGTGAAGGCTCACTTGAACTTGACCTTACTTGAAACTGAACTTTGTACCTACCGATTTCTTCTTTTTCTTTGTCAATTGGAGATCCATAAAATCTGATCTACTTTGTCGAACGAGCTCTCACTTACAGCAACGCAGCCATGATTTAAAAGGGAGATAAATTTAGAGTAGCCATGATTTAAAGGGGAGATAAATTTAGAGCAGTTTATATTGAAGTGGCGAGGAAAAAAAAAGAAAGGGGGGGGGGGCGGAGTAAATAGGTTCTTAATTTATTACTTATTGTTTGCTGTTTATCTTTTATTGAGTGGTATGAATCAAGTTATGTCTGTGATACGGTGGCGCTCTGTAGTGGATCACACTTAGAACATGTCTGACCCAGAACGTTTCTATCTCATTCAGTGAAGACTGTGTTAATCAAGGTTTCCAAAACTTTCTACAAGCTGCACCCGCTACGAATTGTTTGACTAAGTCTGACACCCGCTATTAATTGTTTGACTAAGTCTGACACCCGCTACGAATTGTTTGACTAAGTCTGACACCCGCTACGAATTGTTTGACTAAGTCTGACACCCGCTACGAATTGTTTGACTAAGTCTGACACCCGCTATGAATTGTTTGACTAAGTCTGACACCCGCTATGAATTGTTTGACTAAGTCTGACACCCGCTATGAATTGTTTGACTAAGTCTGACACCCGCTATGAATTGTTTGACTAAGTCTGACACCCCCTACGAATTGTTTGACTAAGTCCCACACCCGTTACAAAATTAACATTGCATTAAAAATATACGCTTACTTTTTAAATTTTAAATGCAAATTATTTATATCACAACCTCAAATTAAATGGCTCCTGCTTTCTAATATGTATTCTTCATTGAGTCGCAACCCTGACCTACCCATAATGACGTTAGATAACATTTCCATCGACTACCCCCTTTTTTAACAATCATATAATTACTTGGGACAACGCAAACATGTGTGAAATACGGAAATGGGTGCTTAATTTAAAATAATTCCAAATGGCGCCCCAAAGCTCCACCAATGCTCAGTTGTATTGACGCTATATAGAGGTGATAGTGACGGGTAGTGAAAAACTGATGCTGATGTTGAAAGCTTGTAAGTTGTCAGTAAGGGTAGCAATAACTGTACGAAACCAATAAGTGTAAGAAATCAATTAGCATCATACCCCTTACGACCCTTGTCTGTTCAAAAACCCTTCCTACAAGCGTAAGAATTCAATACCAATCAGATCAAAAAAAACTTTAAGCACGAAATTTCCAACAACTACAAGTCACTTTTCAGGCTCTCAAGCAATTAAGTCATTTAGTAAAAATAAATAATAATTTGATGCGATGCCGAATTTCAAGGGATTTAATTTAATCCAACCGCTGTTACAAATGTTTTACCCCTTAACTCCCTTAGGACAGACAACTCCCGCTCTTGATTTATTATTACATACATTTCTAGCAATCTGCCCCCCCCTCCCCCCACCTCCAATTTTTTCCTCCCCCCCCACCACCCCGATAAACCCGAATAAAGTCTGAAAATTCAAACCTTAACAAAACACAAACACAAACACAAACAGACAAAGGAAATAGTCAAACCCCCTCCCGCCCCCAATAAAATGTCCTAATTATCGAAAGCTTTAAAAATATAAATATTTAAAAAAAATCTATTCTTAAATTTAAAAAGCAGATTTTTGGGTTTCAAAATAAAGCATTAATGAAAATAAATAATAAACCCCACTTAAATTGAACATTTCTCTCTGCCACACACCCAAAAGCGCACATAACAAACTATAACAAAATGATAAAGTGCCCCCCCCCCCCCTTTACCCCCTTCGCCATGCATAATATGCTCAAGGTTCCTTAGAAGAAAAATAACAGGGAAAGAGACAAGATATTGGACGTAGAAAAAAAACACAAAAAAAAACACAAAAAAACAACAACACATAATTGTAGGAATTGCCACCATCCACTCCACCCCAAAGCCACGGCAGCTTTATCTTGGAGAGTTCATTCTTCACAGTAAAACACTCACAAACTCAAAGATCTATAGATACTTTGAGAAAAGTGAGCACAGGCGAGTGTGTTAAAATAGATAAGTGCTCGAATGTTTACTTTTTTTTTGGGGGGGGGGGGGAGGGAGGACTTCATTCGAACACTTGCTGAAAAACAAGATGGCCGACTTGTCGTGCCAGGCATGGCATCAAATAAATACGGCACGTTCTTTTCAGTCGTAAATCTATTAATGGTCACGTGAGGGTGCTCTTGACTTCTGGCATGATGTGTTTATGACATCTTGGCCTACATAACATAAGTGTTGACCATATTCTTGAACGGTATAGTAGGCGTACATAACATCTTGTCGACCAGTGGTTCTATAATTACTTATAAGAGGGTTTGGCTGACAAAATGACTACGTATAAGAGGGTTGGACTGCGACGCAGCTTTTGATTAGATTAACAAGACACAATCAATTTGTATCAATAAGACGGTATGTATCAGCTTTAATTAGTCGAGGAGTTTCTGTCAAAGCCTTCACCAGCACTACAGAATAACAAATAAGATCTTCCATCTGATCTTTGGTTTCGGGCATCCCTTGTGTCCATTCTTTGTATTCACCTTTTTTTTTCTCCATTTAATTAATAACTAGCTAAGACACCCGGCGTTTCCCGGGTTTGCATTCCAAAAAGAAAAAAAATCACCGACTACAGACTTTTAAATAACTTTGAAATTAAAGGCCATTTGAAATTACAGGCCATTTGAAATTAAAGGCCATTTGAAATTAAAGGCCATTTGAAATTAAAGGCCATTTGAAATTAAAGTCCATTTGAAATTAAAGGCCATTTGAAATTACAGGCCATTTGAAATTAAAGGCCATTTGAAATTACAGGCCATTTGAAATTACAGGCCATTTGAAATTAAAGGCCATTTGAAATTAAGGCCATTTGAAATTGAAGGCCATTTGAAATTACAGGCCATTTGAAATTAAAGGCCATTTGAAATTAAAGGCCATTTGAAATTACAGGCCATTTGAAATTAAAGGCCATTTGAAATTAAAGGCCATTTGAAATTAAAGGCCATTTGAAATTAAAGGCCATTTGAAATTAAAGGCCATTTGAAATTAAAGGCCATTTGAAATTAAGGCCATTTGAAATTAAAGGCCATTTGAAATTACAGGCCATTTGAAATTAAAGGCCATTTGAAATTAAAGGCCATTTGAAATTACAGGCCATTTGAAATTAAAGGCCATTTGAAATTAAGGTCATTTGAAATTTAAGGCCATTTGAAATTAAAGGCCATTTGAAATTAAAGGCCATTTGAAATTAAAGGCCATTTGAAATTAAAGGCCATTTGAAATTAAAGGCCATTTGAAATTAAAGGCCATTTGAAATTAAAGGCCATTTGAAATTAAAGGCCATTTGAAATTTTGTTAAAAACGCTGCTGTAAAAAAAATGTAATTATTTAATTTGTCTCCCCCCCCCCCACACATACACCATAGCATTTGCCAACTTTTTATTTCCCGATCGGATCCCGTTTCCCGATGGCATCCGGTTTCCGGGAAGATTCCGATAGGATTCCGATCCCGATGAGTTTCTGATCCCGGTGGGATCCCAATCACGGTTAAATCACGATCATGGTGGCATCCCAATCCTCGTGGGTTCCCGTTTTCCGGTGGTTCCCCATCCCGTCCGTATCCCGATCCCGGTGCGATCCCGATCTCGATGAGATGCAAATTCCTTCAGTATCCCGATCCCGTGGGGTTCCCACCGGGATCGGAATCCCACCGGGATTTGGATACCGACAGGATCGAGAACATACTGTGATCGGAATATCGACGGAATCGGGAACCAACCGGAATCGGAATCCCACCGGGATGGGGATCCAAACAGAGTCGGGATCTAACCGGGATCGGGATCCGAACGGGTTCGGGATCTTTCCGGATACCGGGATATCATCGGAATAGCTCTATCTCAAAACACACATATATTACAAGATGGACATTGTTTCAGAGACAGTTTTAAAACTACTGAAATGATACATTGGGCACATTTCAGAGATAGGTTATTATTTTGATGACTGTATCTTTAAATCCGATGACATCACACTTGTTTAAAAAGAGGTTTTATAGTTTATTTTGAAACAAATAAATATTTCTTCTGTCAGTTTCGGAAAATACTGACCAAAGGCGTCGACATATTGTGAGCACATTTACATAATTTTACCCATACCTCAACACTTAATGAAGATGGAAAGGTGAAAATAGGGAAGAAGATTTTCTTTGAAACTAAGGACATCGAAAATTTGGGGAAATTTTGAATGAAGACACCAATCTATCAAAGACGTTAATGCTACAGATAGTTTAAATGTTACAAAGATTTGATTTGAACAGTCGAAAATGTTTTTAAAATTGTTAACAAATATATGTTTTCTTAGGAGTTCATGGGCGCTGGTTAGGCCTCTAGTGTGTAGAAGATAACCTTTCTCAAATCCTATGTTGTTAGAAATGAAAATATCTACACATAGATACTAATTTAAAAATAAGGAATTCTGATTTAGTGTTTCTTAAATATGCATCTCAAGGGCGTTGAAAATGGTGTGTCTCAAATGTACTGACACGCCCATAGACTTACGGACATGATGCTGTAACTTCTTGTTACGAATGTACTAACAAGCCCATGGACTTATGGACTTAATATAATATGTAATCCAGGCGGGTTTTTTTAAAAATTCTTTGACCTTATGTTTAAACGAAGAAATCACTTTTTCCATGTTCAGGTGGGCCACCCTCAGACTTCCCTGGAGTCATCTGGTCAGAATGGCTTGGGAGTTCCTACCACGAACGTCAACGCAAGTTACAGGTCACAGGAAGGTGGTGGTGGCGGTAGGTGGCTGTATGGCGTTGTTTTCGTGACCCATCGATCGGGAACACGGGGGGNAGCGATCCAGGGGTTACATAAGTCTAAATCCTAAATCATTTCACTTCTTGCCAGAGGAACTGACATCCAAACCACACAAACTCTCTCAGGAACACACTCACACACACATGCGCGTACTCATGTGCAGATTTAAGCAAGTAATATAATAAACAATAATTGAATATCCTTTGACGCCAATGTATATATATCATTGTCACTATATATATATATATATATATATATATATATATATATATATATATATATATATATATATATATATATATATAGCTTGTGTCATCTTACTATTTAGATGTAGATTTCTAGACCATAAGCCCTAGAGACGCGAGTTAGTTTTTCTCCCTCTGATATTGTTAAAAATGTCTCCATTTTGTCAAAGTGGAAAAATACAATGAAAAAAGCAACAAATGGCATCCAAATAGTGTTTCTGTACTCCATTCATTAATTGTTATATGGAACATGTGTCTCCAAACTAAGGACCACGGGTCGGATCGGTCCTCCATGAGTTGCTCAAATTAGAACTGGACATTGCAGTAACTTACCATGTCTTTGATTATACGTCACCCTGTCTTTGATAGTATGTCATCATTTTTTTATAGTAAGTCACCATGTCTTTGATAGTAGGTCACCATGTCTTTTATATTAGGTCACCATGTATTTGATAGTAATTCAACTTGTCTTTGATAGTAGGTCACCATGTCTTTTATAGTAGTCACCATCTATTTGATAGTAGATAACCATGTCTTTGATAGTAAGTCAACACGTCTTTGATAGTAGGTCACCATGTCTTTTACAGTAGGTCAACTTGTATTTGATAGTAATTCAACTTGTCTTTTATAGTAGGTCACCATGTCTTTTATATTAGGTCACCATGTATTTGATAGTAATTCGACTTGTCTTTGATAGTAGGTCACCCTGTCTTTTATAGTAGTCACCATCTATTTGATAGTAGATAACCATGTCTTTGATAGTAAGTCAACATGTCTTTGATAGTAGGTCACCATGTCTTTTATACTAGGTCACCATGTATTTGATAGTAATTCAACTTGTCTTTGATAGTAGGTCACCATGTCTTTTATATTAGGTCACCATGTATTTGATAGTAATTCGACTTGTCTTTGATAGTAGGTCACCATGTCTTTTATAGTAGTCACCATCTATTTGATAGTAGATAACCATGTCTTTGATAGTAAGTCAACACGTCTTTGATAGTAGGTCACCATGTCTTTTACAGTAGGTCACCATGTATTTGATAGTAATTCAACTTGTCTTTGATAGTAGGTCACCATGTCTTTTATATTAGGTCACCATGTATTTGATAGTAACTCGACTTGTCTTTGATAGTAGGTCACCATGTCTTTTATAGTAGTCACCATCTATTTGATAGTAGATAACCATGTCTTTGATAGTAAGTCAACATGTCTTTGATAGTAGGTCACCAAGTCTTTTATAGTAGGTCACCATGTATTTGATAGTAAGTCAACTTGTCTTTTATAGTAGTTCACCATATCTTTTATAGTAGGTCACCATGAATTTGATAGTAAGTCATCTTGTCTTTGATAGTTGGTCACCATGCCTTTTATAGTAGGTCACCATGTCTTTTTTAGTAGGTCACCATGTATTTGATAGTAAGTCATCTTGTCTTTGATAGTAGGTCACCATGTCTTTTATAGTAGGTCACCATGTATTTGATAGTAAGTCAACTTGTCTTTGATAGTAAGTCAACTTGTCTTTGTTAGAAAGTCAACTTGTCTTTGATATTAAGTCAACCTGCCTTTGATGATATTTTTTCCGTTCGGCAGTGTCTACAAATAATTAGCCATTTAGCCTTAAAATGAGATGCCTTACAATGAGATGCCCTACAATGAGATGCCTTGCAATGTGTAGCCTTTCATTGAGTAGCCTTACAATGAGAAATTACAATTAGTAGCCCTGTATTGATTAGTCGTACACTGAGAAGTCTTACAATGAGTAGCCTTACAATGAGAAGTCTTACAATTAGTAGCCTTACATTGAGAAGTCTTACAATGAGTAGCCTTACAATGAGAAATCTTACAATGAGTAGCCTGGGGGGGATTATGTTATTTTGTTAGTTTTTTATTTTATTTTCACAGGCAAGTGTCCAAAAAATGCATTGCACAATAAACATTTTTTTTTTCCTCATGAATAAATAATCCTTAATTTTATTAGATCTTGACTCATTCATAATGTTGGCCTAGAAGATGTTTTTCAAATTGATTTAATACAACAAGTCGTAAATGACGTGTAAATATTGTAAATCGTTGAGTCGACATGAATATAGGTTGCATTGTTTCCGATCTAGGTTTACATTATAATTCCCGTCTATAAAGTAATCTCCCCTGAAACGTGTCACTTATCGAATGACGTCATTTCCCTATATTTTAGATCGCCACGTCAGATGCCAAGCAAGCACTGTAAACCAGAGCGCCAGTTGTTCCAGCGATGCCAACTATGTCAGGGACTTGAAGGACAGCCGGGTGATCCCATCCCTGGCCTCGCTCGCCAACACTGCACCAGTCGGCATCCAGGGAGTCTTGGATCAAACAGGGGGGCACGTTCATCGGGGATACACCATGGATTCACCTAAACGTGGGTGACAGGAGCAGGGCAGTGTTATTGACGGGGTTGTTATTGTTATTGACGGGGTTGTTATTGTTATTGACGGGGTTGTTATTGTTATTGACGGGGTTGTTATTATTATTGACGGGGTTGATATTGTTATTGACGGGGTTGATATTGTTATTGACGGGTTGTTATTGTTATTGACGGGGTTGTTATTGTTATTGACGGGGTTGTTATTGTTATTGACTGGGTTGTTATTGTTATTGACGGGGTTGTTATTGTTATTGACGGGGTTGTTATTGTTATTGACGGGGTTGTTATTGTTATTGACGGGGTTGTTATTGTTATTGACGGGGTTGTTATTGTTATTGACGGGGTTGTTATTGTTATTGACGGGATTATTAATGTTATTGACTGGGTTGTTATTGTTATTGACGGGGTTGTTATTGTTATTGACGGGGTTGTTATTGTTATTGACGGGGTTGTTATTGTTATTGACGGGGTTGTTATTGTTATTGACGGGGTTGTTATTGTTATTGATGGGGTTGTTATTGTTATTGACTGGGTACTTATTGTTATTGACGGGGTTGTTATTGTTATTGACGGGGTTGTTATTGTTATTGACTGGGTTGTTATTGTTATTGACTGGGTTGTTATTGTTATTGACTGGGTTGTTGGTGTTAGTGACATGGGCACTATTATTATTTATAAAGGTGTTATGTTATTGACAGGTGATGCTATTCAGAAAATTCAAATATTTGGGTTACAACCTCTAACGGTCATTCACAATAGATGATAAGATAGAAACCAGAGTTTCAAAAGCAAATATTGCAATTGGAAGACACTATTTGGGGGGCCTCTGACTTCTCATTGAGCTGAAAGTAGATGGGACAATCGTATGAACAAATCTGCCACGCGCCAGGGAGCCGTTGACAGTGTACATAATGACAACTAAACCTTCTCCAAGCCGTTTACGCAAACTTCTTGGCATACTGTGGCGGGACAAATTCCCTGATACAGAATTCCTGCACAAAAAAAGGCACGATCTTACAAGAAAAGACACCCCCGATGGTCTGGGCAGGTTGTGAAAATGCCAGCAGCAGACTTCCTAAGCCGCTAATGTACGGTGAACTTTCAAAAGTGAAACGCTCAGCTGGTGGGCAGAGAGACGTTTTACAAATTGTCTAAATGTGTGCCATAAAATCGACCTGAATTCATGGAAAGTATTTGATATGGAGCACACACACTGGAGAACAATCTTGATAAAGTAAACAAACACTCAACGTCAAAAGAATGCGTACATCAAGGAACAGCAAACTCGCATCCAATCCCTTCGGGACCCAAAACTCCGTGTGGGTCATACATGCAGGCAAGCTTTCCGAGCACAAATAGGACTGGCAAGGCCATTGCGTACCCATCGTCGACTCTAAGCCTTGGTCATCTTTGCATAAGAAAGTTGAACTACACTGTTATTGTAGGGAGTTGAATAGTTATAGACGGAATGTTAGTATTGATAAGTGGTGTCATTTTTATTGACGAGGGTATTGTTATGGTCTGGGTATCAGGTACAAGTATAAACGAGCGAGTCCGTTCTAAATTACTGATAAAAAATTAATCAATTGTTAGAATGAAACAAATAAAAACAGTATTTATGATTATATAACGGATTTATTGAATTGGTAATAAGGCAATAACCTTATTTTGTAATTTATAAAATCTAGGATAATAAAATGTAACGGCTCCAAACAAATACGTATTTCTTTACAGGGAGAGCACGAAGTAAGACAGATAACAGGTCAATGTGAGTTGGTTAGAGACTACGTTTTTTAAAGGTTTAATTAAATACTCGGGTTTAAGAGGTTGTCTTTTTGTAAACCGGACCAGGGTATTTTGAGAAATACTTTTGTGGGACCATGTGTTACAAAAAAGAGATAGCTTCTCCTTTTCTATAATATATGCCGGCCTTTAAACAATCGACATACAGACAGTCCTACACCCTACCTGCCGGCCCATAAACAATAGACATACAGACAGTCCTACACCCTACCTGCTGGGCTTTAAACAATAGCCATACAGACAGACCTACACCCTACCTGTCGGCCTTTTAACAATAGCACTGCAGGCAGTCCTACACAATATATTCCAGCCTTTTAACAATAGCACTACAGGCAGTCCTACACCCTATATGCCTACCTTTTAACAATAGCACTACAGGCAGTCCTACACCCTACCTGCTGGCCTTTAAACGATAGACATACAGACAGACCTACACCCTACCTGCCGGCCTTTTAACAATAGCACTGCAGGCAGTCCTACACCCTATATACCGGCCTTTTAACAATAGCACCACAGGCAGTCCTACACCCTATTTGTCGGCCTTTTAACAATAGTCCTACACCCACCCGTGGTTCTTTATTGATTAATATAATAGTGTTCTCCACCTCTATCAATGTTTTGTACCTGAGTTCACACGTCACGCATGACAGCCTTTATGCACTCAGTACTTTTAATATAAAACATGTGGAGTTGGGGGAGAGCTGGTTGTGAAGATGAATGAGGACACACGAGATGCAACTAGAAATAAAGTACTTATTTTTATTCCTGGTATGAAACCTGGTGGTTGGAGGCAAAGGGTTTTCTTTTAGAAAAATTAATATCATTATATATGAACCAAAGCTCTGGTTAATGAAATACATGTCTTCATTTGAGCCCAACAAAATGTGATGTCTCTTGCTGAACATTAAAGCCTATGTCTGTTCTAGTGTATTAATACTCCTTTTCTCAAAGTTCATGTCCTTATACAATATAATATCATTGTAATAGTTGAGTAATAAATATTCGCAGTGACTAAACAAAAAAAAAAAAAAAAAAAAAAAAAAAAAACGATTTTTTTTTCAGATCTCGAGGGAAATCCTTATCTATCAAGAAAAGTCGAATATTTTCGAAATGGAGCTTTGGGGCCATTAAAAAACGAATAAGTACCATAAAACGACAAGGAAAACAGACCCCTTCATCAAATGACCAATCTCACACACTTAACGCTCGCCAGGGCTCCGCGGTGCATCTACGCAATACAGCAGCTCAGACGGGCACCCAACACACATTTCATCAAACAAAATTAAAAGAGGCAAGCCATAAAGTGCAACAAACAGATCCCAGAAATGAAGCATCATTTAGAGTTGTTCCAGACAACGATTCGCACAAGCTACCGCCGGATAACGCCAGTCCCAAAAGGTTGAACAGTGTCTTGGTGAGCACAAGTTTGCACAAGAGATCATTAGCATACAATCGGGACAACCAAGAAAAGGGGATGGGCAGCTTTAACGCCATCACGCAGAACGGTAACGGGCGGATTAAAATCAAGACGGATTGGTCGGCCTTTCTGACTTCGGTTGAGGAAAAGCTCCATAAGAATCCGCAACAGCAGAAGAAAAGCCCAAAGAAATCCAGCCCCCAACGAAACGCGAGTTGCCAGGTCATGAAGGATCCAGCGACTTCCACGCTTAGAAAGATTAAGAAACGCGGCCCTATTAGTCATGGTACAAAATCCCGCGGCAGAGTTCAGAAAGTCGAGGTGCTGAAGCCTAACCCAAAAACAAGCATTCATAATGCAGAGATTCCGAAATTGGTGGAAGCTATCAAACGAAGCCAGCCTACCGACTTTGGAGGAGAGGTCACCATGGGAAGTTACACAATCAAGAAAACGACCGAGCCTGTGTTAAGTTCTCTGACAGGACATGGCGCTTTCAGTTCCTACGCTAAGGACGGTCAAAATATTTTCTCTCCTACCATAGATGCCCGGCCTGACCATCCCAGCGTAGAGCACGGAGATGTAAGCGACGAGAAAGACTCGATTCTGAAAGAATACCGCACGTACACCCGAGACTCCAAACCTAGAAGTCCACTTGACAATCGCCAGAAATTGACGCTCACAGAAAAATTTTCACGTGGCGCAACGGGTTACACTCAAGGTCCAGCTCACGAGAATATAGGTCGCCACAACACAAAGTTTTTAATAGAGCGCGGTCAGACCAGTAGCAATGAAATCAACAGTCTCAACGGGAAGTCTTTGGGAATGGTTTGGAAACAACAACCTGAGAAAAATAGGGGCACCCACCATGACAGTTTTCACAAGGATTTATGTAAAGTGGACCTTTCAAAATATGAATACTTTACTTTCAAAGAAGTGAAACTACCGTCTCGTGGTGGCGAATCCAAACCTCTAACTGAATGTCGGGAAAAGGCACGTGTACATTATGGCAAATACACAAATGTTGATAGGCAGCAACCACACCTGAATGAAATTTCTAAAGAGCTGTATCAAGAAAAACTTAACGCCAAGGACAAAGCTGTCCACACACTAGATTTCCACGGTCCCATTTTCGGCTCAGCAAATGAAAGGGTGAAGGTCCCGACTCAACCTCCGAATGACAACGTCAAGTTTGGCAACAATCGGGACCAATTACAATTCATCGCGTCTTCAAATCCGTGTCTGCAAAGGACTTTGGATGCAACACAAAATATTCACAAACCTTCTCCTACATATCTGCATCACAAAACAACAGTGAGAGGTGGAGATGTTTCAGAAGTTCCATCACATCCAGTTACAAGTAACTCAAAGAAGCCACACGACAATGTGTGTCATCTCCAGAGAGAGCGCGCCTTGAAAAGATTAGAGGAAAATGTTACAAAAATGACTCCAAGTAAATCTCAGAATCTTCAATTTATTTGCGTGCCACATGAAAAGATCAATAACACAGCCGAGGTTTTATCAAATCAAGAACATGGCACATTTGAATACAAACCATTATGTAAACATGCTGTGGAAAATAGATCAGGCAAAAAGCATGTTACACAAGACCGAAGAGTTGAAACTTTAAACAGTGATCGTCATAGCGAGTTTTCTCAGAATAAACCGATCGCCTTTACTGGCCTGGAAAATCCTGAACAAAAAAATAATAAATCAAAAAGAGGAGACAACACCGTCTCATCTAGCTTTACTATAAAACCAGATTATGAGAATATGGACACAGGAAGTGTCGTCGAGAATTTTCTTGCCCCAAACCCTCGAAATGCAAACGCTAGAGATACAAATAACGAGAAAGAGTGCGACGAGGCACCGTCTTTGAGGACTGCAATAGGCTTTGAAAATTTCAAGAGCGGTAATAAAACTAATCAAGCCGCCCCTTTCAGTTTCACTCCGGTCGGACAGTCAGACACCAAATCACATGTCGATCAAGGTACGCTGCAGCATCGCGTCAAGTACCACCCCGATCAAACCTTGCATCCCATAGCCGAGAGTGGGGACTTTACCCATCTCACGAAGGCTGGGGCCGTGCACAGTCACGACAAGTCTATCGTCTCCGTGGCGAGTACCAGTGACTCAGAGGTCACGCCGGGATGTTTCCATATTGGACACTGCTACATTAAAGATGAAGGGAGTAGTCGCTGGACGTGTGAACCAAGTGAGGCACTTAGTGATCATGTCACTAAAAGAGCCATTTTTGTTCAAGAGGAAAATAAACACAACAAGCATAGAGCTGAAAAGCTCCCACAGTTTTGTGGGGATGAGGAAAATGTCAAAATCGCCTATCAAAAAATCGAGGTTCATCGAAAAGAGAACAGGCGCAACAAATGTCAAGGTTATCCGGTGAAAAAGTCCAAAAGCCTAATTTCCGTGGGGCAGATGGTGTCCGAGCTTACTTCTCAATCTCATCAAAAATTCAATCCGGGCCACTCCCCGGGAAACAAAACTTCCTCAAGAAAACACACCAAAGTCTGCAAAGTTATTTACGTCAAACCCTCGCATAGAGTCTGCCGACACGTGCGCGTCAACACGGCCCCAAGGCCTCAGCCACAACCGATCTTTTTTAAGATATCAAATGATGACTTCCTGGAGAATCGAATGGTGGCCTACCACGAGCACGAGAAGAAAGATGACTACGTCAAATACTGCAAGCTGAGGAAAGTTAGGTGTCACAGGCACGAGCCCTACAAGAAGCAACTGGTCACCAGCAGCGGAAGCACAAGTCCTCCCAGCGGACATATAGCATACCATAAACGAAACAGGAATAACTGCAGCCCATCACGACGTGGACGTTTCGAGTTGGGGCCCAAAGTAGACCAGCAGTGTTTCGACGACCCACCACAGCAGCCACAGCACAACACTCAGAGCGACGAACCGTCTTCAGAGTCGTTCAATAATCTTCAGCCGAATGAGCGAGAAAGTAACCAAAAAACAGAGAGTGATGGTTTTACGACCCTGAGATACATCGAGACTGCAGACTCTTCCAGCGGCACAACACCCCTAGGGGTTTCTGAGGACAATCCTGAAGATGATAAAGCTCACAGAGAAACTCATTTCCCCCCATACATCGATGGCAAAAATATGCTCAAGCCCAACACAGACGATACAAGGAAGAAATGGTTTTACGATCTGGGAACAAAGGGAGGGAATATTTCATCTTTCATGGAGAATAATGAGAATCCAGTAAATAATGAGATATGTTTGAAGACAGTGAAGAAAAGCACCGAGAATTTGAGAGCTTTCTCAAAAAAGAAGGTGGTTGATATGCCTGAAAACATTACGCATACTTGCATAATAGACAAGAAAACTACAGCAGAATGTAGTAGAAACAATAAAAAACGCGCAGATTGTGCTGGGGGAAATCGAATAACTATAGGGCTCAATGGGGGTTCCGGTAATAGAATATCCAATGGGCTTGATGGGGACTCTAGCAATCGAAAACCCTTAGGGCTTAATTTGGACCCTAGCAATCGAATACCCATAGGACTTGATGGGGACTCTAGTTACTCGGATCTCAAAACTGAGGAAAACAATTCACATTATCTGTTTGGTCGGCCAAGAGAAAAACGCCAGCCGTCTAAATCTCCACCCACTACCCAGAGTCACATGACACAGACAGAATCCTCAAACATCCCCATCAATATCGGAGTCCAGACAAGTCCCCGTCTAGAGATTCGCCCTAGAAAAATGCTGTTTCAGTACAAACGCAAAGGTTATAACCCCTTCCCGAAATCTTTGAGAGACAAAGCTAAGCTTACCAGAAAATCGAAAGCTATCAGAACCAAGTACCCTTGTAAGAATGTCGTCGTTCAGGGTGACCACGACTTTTATAAAAACCCGGTGGCCCAATGGCTTCAGGATCATGCGTTTGTCAACTGGACTCACGTAGAGCAGAACTCACACGACAAGGGGCCGTACAATGCGATCCCCAGTCATGAAACAACACGTTCACAAAGTTCTACGCTTGGAACGTCTGACTGGGCAAGCCACTCCCTCCAATCGCATAACGTAATGCAAACAATTACGAAAGGAAACATCAATGTCGACATGAGACCTGGTTGGTCCTCTCATAAAACGAATTCTGCTGTTCCAAATGTCCGCTCCAAATATGCAGGCAATAGCGTGGAAGAGATTCAAAATGCAACCGAACACATTGGAGATTGTCCAGACCTTCCTAGCACCAAAGAATTTAAAGATAAGCCACTTGACTGCCAGACAAGAACGAACACCATGTTTCAGTTTCGAGGATTTTCCTTTGATAAACGTCATGATCCAGCCCTTCGCAATTTGGCCGACCCAACTGAAGCGAAAGCAGGGATTCCATGCCATTCGTCTTCGGTACCCTGGTCTGAAAACAGTGAGGACATCAAGGCCTCGATGAATAGAGCCCCCGACAGACCCTCAACATCTTCAACTGTGCATGTTAATAATACGAAAGATGAGGCTAGCGAGACCAGCATGACGTCATCGAGACTATCCGAGCTCCAGAAACTCTGCGTGATCCGTCCGTTTTGGAAAAACGCAAACATCGATGAAATTGACAGACGAGTGAAGAGGGCACTTAGACTGCGGGAAGAGCTGCAGATGTCAAGGTCTGCTTGTGCTCAAAGAAGGGCGTCTGCGGGGGTGTCAATTGTTGGGACGTCCTCCGTCACGGGTGCTGGGGATGTAGACAACAACGCAATTATATCTGGAGGAATGATGCCAGAGATGACAGAGGAGACGGTTGCGCTAAGAGATGAAGTCCTATGTGAAGACCGCAATGTCCCACTAACAACTGGTAACGATGCCCACAGTTTTCAAAAGCGTTTCTTTAAAGCTTCGAAGGAAAAGACGCGTTTGACTAGCATGTCCTCAAATGGGAGAGAAATCCCTTTACACGATAATAAAAAGAAAAGTCCAAACTCTATACACACACCACTAAATAAAGATGATAAAAAAGAAGGAGTCGGGACATCAATTTCAGCTGTTTGCAGGTTCACCAATGTCGATAAAGTTGGAAAGGTTGAAAAAAATCATAGGCTAGAACCAACGGTTCGCTTGGAGCGTAGCTTGTCCTTTCATGAGGATCCCGTCACTGAGATTGAAAACAGGCCTGGGAAAGCCAACAGCGAGCACACGTCTTCCAGACCCAGCAACAGCAACAGCGCCCAGAACACGTTGAAGCGTGTAAGGACCAGGGACAAGAACTCTCCCCCAACAAAGATATCGAAGGTCGAAAACGCGCTGACCAGCACGCCTAAGCTTGTTGGGGAACTCGTCCAGAGCCTCCCTCAGGTACCACTGTTCTCGTTTGTGGAATGGTTCATTGAGACATCAGACCCAAGCAACTTCGTCTTGTCGGATCACTCGAGCAGTTCGTCGGGGAAAGACCGAGAGGAGAGAATTTTCCGTGACGAGGTCATGCGAACTGAGGAACTCGGCTGTTTAGTCAAGTACCACGGCCGAAATTTAAAATTGAACCAGGGCTCGTGTGTCGAAGGTATGCCAGACACCCCTTCGACTGCAACGTTCGCAATCTCTTCTCGGACAGCGGAGGATCAGACGACGTACGATTTTGAGTCCCTGACCCCAACAGAGGGTCTTTCGGTGGAGAAGCGATATGGGCACTTCGATGTCAGGCTCGGCGAACAAACGCACCAACGATCCAGAGAAGTTGAAGATAACTCAGCTGTGTTACATAAGTGTACATTACAGTCAGGAGACACGGAGGATGCAGCCCCGTTTCTGTCTAGGCAAGGGAGAGCAGCAAATCTCGGATCTGGTTACAAGTTCGGTGAGAACAAGGACAATGTTCACACTCCGTTTAGATTTTCGATGTCAGAACAAAATTCAACGTCTACGACGGACCCCTCTCATTCCAAGTCAAGCACTCAGGATACGCATAAGACGTCAGAGTCCAGCGTAAAGACCCCAACTGTTCACCTCGCCTACGACAGCTATTTGAACAAGAAGTTACACCACCCTGACAACGACACGACCAGCTCCGCCGGGACGAAGACGGGCGATCTCAGCGACCTGTACAACATTTACTGCAACATTCGAGACAACGACGACCAGAATGAAAGCTCCCCAAAAAGGGAGAGCGAGTGGCCTGTAGACAGCACCGAGGAGAGTGTCACCGAGGAGGTTTGCCCTGGAGTCAGACGGTCCCAAATGATGTTTTCAGACGACGCAAAAGACGATGATGCGGACCGCTGTGCGCCGGGCATACGGCACATTCTGATGAAACTTCGACAGACGAAAGATGAGGACGACGGGGGTGGTCCCCGACACGACCGCATGAGGATCACTTTGCGAAAATCTTCCGACGTTACCGGAATAATAGCGAAATTTCAAAACGAAAATTCTTAAACTTTTTGATTAAAAATTGACACATCTACAGTGGCAGACTCATAAGCTGGTCACTGGCCAATGTTCTGGTGGGATGATATCTCCCATCGCGCTGTGTCTGTTGAGATCTTCATCCCCTGAGCACAGTCACCGTTATGTTATTGTAAGACATCATTTGATTAGAGCAGCGTGTTATCGACTTTTGTGATCAAGGACTCTCATTAGGACGTGACAATGACGGCCTGACAACGTACATGAACTGTAATAGAAATGTGCTTTTTTATTTAATTCATGCCTGATATCATCTCCCTTACGATTAACTGCCCGGGTGGTTGAGTTGGTACCTCTGGTAGCTCTGACATGAGTGTTTGACTAGAGTCGGGTTTAATTCGATTAACGTGACTAAAAGTAAAAGCAATTTTAAGTTTCCATTTGACAATAAAATCAACAAAAAAACAACAACAAGAAGAAAGTTAATGACACAGGGTGCTCTGGGCCTGAATGCCACTTTTGATTGGTGATATATCAACATTTAGATGTTTTATAATATTTTATTTAATCATTTTATACATATAATTCGTTATGTCTATACTTTTTTATACGGGTGTCTAAACTACCAAACTTGCCTCCGGACGTTACATTTCTAGTTCCTTTACCGTGTTGTTTTTTATACAGTATTTTCTCTATTCCCTACTGAGTGTAAAAGTAGTACATTCCCAATCCCAACTATGTGTACATCTATTGTACGCAATGTGGAGTAGTGAATTTATGTAATGTCCAGACGGCGCTAAAAAATGTCTTACATAATTGACGTTATTTCGAATTCAGCGTATATTAAAACAAACATTTTTGTTGGTCTTTTATTTTACAAATAAACGAGAGTTGACTTTCTCTAATGATTAAAAAATTGTTTTAGTTCTTAATAAGTTGTGAGTTGACTTTCTCTAATGAATACAACATTGTTTTAGTTCTTAACAAGTTGTGAGTTAACTTCCTCTAATGTATACAACATTTTTTTTAGTTCTTAATTTGTGAGTTAACTTCCTCTAACGAACACAAAATTGTTTTAGTTCTTAACAAGTTGTGAGTTAACTTCCTCTAATGAATACAAAATTGTTTTAGTTCTTAACAAGTTGTGAGTTAACTTCCTCTAATGAATACAAAATTGTTTAGTTCTTAACAAGTTGTGAGTTAACTTCCTCTAATGAATACAAAATTGTTTTAGTTCTTAACAAGTTGTGAGTTAACTTCCTCTAATGAATACAAAATTGTTTTAGTTCTTAACAAGTTGTGAGTTAACTTCCTCTAATGAATACAACATTGTTTTAGTTCTTAACAAGTTGTGAGTTAACTTCCTCTAATGAATACAACATTGTTTTAGTTCTTAACAAGTTGTGAGTTAACTTCCTCTAATGAATACAAAATTGTTTTAGTTCTTAACAAGTTGTGAGTTGACTTCCTCTAATGAATACAAAATTGTTTTAGTTCTTAACAAGTTGTGAGTTGACTTCCTCTAATGAATACAACATTGTTTTAGTTCTTAACAAGTTGTGAGTTAACTTCCTCTAATGAATACAAAATTGTTTTAGTTCTTAACAAGTTGTGAGTTGACTTCCTCTAATGAATACAAAATTGTTTTAGTTCTTAACAAGTTGTGAGTTAACTTCCTCTAATGAATACAACATTGTTTTAGTTCTTAACAAGTTGTGAGTTAACTTCCTCTAATGAATACAACATTGTTTTAGTTCTTAACAAGTTGTGAGTTAACTTCCTCTAATGAATACAAAATTGTTTTAGTTCTTAACAAGTTCTTCGACGAGAAACATTGAACCGTTTTGTATATGTTTTTGATTCCAACATTCCCAACAGTCATTTCAGTTTCAAAGTTTTAAGGTCAGAATTGATTGTGATTGTTGGATGTTTGCAGGCAATGTTGTTGAATGTTAAATGCTCAAAATAAAGGATAGTCTTTATTCTATTTTTAAACATAGTTTATGGGACTTATGTGTCCATTCCTCATTTTATATTCTCCAGGGGCACGTGCTTGCCGAAAAAAAGGGGAGGGGTGGACATTTTTTTTTACTTTTAAAGCAAAATAAGCGTAATGATATAGAGTTGTTTTGTTCGAAAGTGGGCGCCTAAATTTAGGCTTTGTCCAGGGTGCACAGTTTTGTTTTCTACGCCCATGACTGGACTTGGGATTACCAATCTATTTTGACATTTTAAAATGAAGCCATGTTTACTTTATGGCAGGATTATAGCGCGGTATTTTTATTGGATCACGTGTATTTGAAAACTAATCAATTTAGGAAGCATTTGGTATTAGGAATAAACTGTCAAGTCCATTGGATGTTTGGAATAAACTGTCAAGTCCATTGGGTGTTTGGAATACAATGTCAAGTCCTTTTAGTGCTTGGAATAAACTGTCAAGTCCCTCTACCTACTTTGTATGTTTGCCGACTCAAAGACTGGTTCAGTAAATCAAAGTAACAGTACTAAACCAAAGATAGTATACAAAGAAAATGACAATATATTAACAACCATTACAGTATATTGACCCGATGGCAGTATTGTAGCCTCAGAACAGTATACCAGCCCAGTGCCATTATACTAACCCAAAGACAGTATACTAACCCAAAGACAGTATACTAACCTAATGACAGTATCATAACCTAATGACAGTATCATAACCCAATTTCAGTATACTCACCCAATGAGAAGTACACCAACCTAAGGACAATATATTAACCAAATGACAATTATACTAACTCAAAGACAGTATACTAAACCAAAGACAGTATACTAATAAAATGAAAGTATAATAACAACATGACAGTATGCTAACACAGTAACAGTATACTAAACCAAAGACAATATACTAAGCTCATGATAGTATAGTGCTAAATATACTAACATTGTGACAGGTGTACTAACCAAACGACAGGGTGCTGGGTGGTCTAAACTGTCTCAAACCAAAATGCCGGTGGTCCGAAGTTCAATCCCCATCAAAGCCAACATCCCAAGCACCCAGGGTGGATGGGACTCGCTAGCCTTGGACGGCGACCCATCTAAGAGAAGGCAAACTCTGAATTAAAACTAGGAGCCATAATGATCAACAAATTGATCGTGGGCCCCTCAAATGTAAGAAGAAGACAGGCATATTTAATTAAAAACAAGTATTCCGACCCAATGACAGGTAAACGAACCAAATGACAAATATACTACCCCAATGAAATGTATAGCAACCCTATGACAGATATACATTAGTCAACCTATCTTATACATCGCCTTCCAATCTTCTCCACATGCTTTAGATACTTAACCCCTAAGAATTCGTGAGTGTGAAGAGGTCACGCCCTGAAACTCTCCAGCCCAAACTCTTTTCCAACGAAGAAAATAATTTCCACCACTAATATTTCTTTCTCCCAAGGGGATCAAAATCTCAACGTGAGGAACCGTTTGTCAAGAGGTCACAACGCCCCGTAACAAATAATTCTCCACGACCGATCAAGGGGAAGTGTGAACTATAATAAAAGTTAAATTTCTATTTAGTTTTACAAAGCACGGATTTCGGGGTAAAAAAAGGTATGACACACTATGACATCAAACTTACTGTCATAGTTTATGTCTCGGTGGGCCGTGAGTTTGAGAACCTTGCCAGAACTTCTATCCCAAACGTTATTGCCCACCCCGCTGAGTACAACAGATGGACTGTTATGAGCCAAAAGTGTGCCGAGAACAATTAATGAGCATGCCATGGCCATCTGGAGACAACCTGTCCTGACAAGAATGGATAGTCTGATTTATGTCCCCCTTACCACGCCAATTTTTACTCATCCGAACCGTCTGACTCACGTACTGTTAGATAAAACGCATTTTTAGTATATGGCCAAATTAATGGGTCATTTCGGTCATCTATGAAATAAAACTGTCATTAAAAAACAAACGCTGGAGTAAAAGTAAATTGCTGCCTAAGGTTAAATTTGAGATTTCAAATAATAAAACTTTATAATAGATAATATAATACACTATTGTACATAGAAATGGCTTATAATATTACTAGGGCTTCACCGGGTACAGTTTTGTGACACCGGGCCCGGGCATTTTGAGAAGTACCCGGTGGTCCCAGTGTTAAAAAAAAGAGTTAACTTCTCCTTTTCTGTAATATGTGCCGGCCTTTAAATAGTAGGCCTAAAAACAGGTATACGCCCTACCTGCCGGCCTTTAAATAGTAGGCCTAAAAACAGGTCTACGCCCTACCTGCCGGCCTTTAAATAGTAGGCCTAAAAACAGGTCTACGCCCTACCTGCCGGCCTTTAAATAGTAGGCCTAAAAACAGGTCTACGCCCTACCTGCCGGACTTTAAATAGTAGGCCTAGAAACAGGTCTACGCCCTACCTGCCGGACTTTAAACATCAGTCCCTAACACAGTGCTACACCATACCAGTGGCTCTTTATTGATTGATAAAATAGTCACCTCCCTTCAATAAATTTTCTATAATATGCAACAAAATCTACTGCCCTATGTCATTGTGAGAGAGCATTGCCTTTGTCAACCGTTTGTGTCAAAAAATAACCCACTGATAGAAACAGGCAGTTATAACCGGATCCCGGAATAGAGATGACGTTGTACAAAAAGCGTCGACGGAGGAGATAATGTTGTTCACTTTATAACAAAGATTTAGGAAAACAATAGTCGCAGTATAACGAAAATAGCAGTAGCTTCCTGTACCTAGCTATTCAAAGCCTCACAGGCGCACACATGACCGAAGTGAAAGGACCTTTTGTATTGGTCTGCGTCACTGACTCTATGTCAGTAAAAGATGCACTTTTTGTATTAATCTGGGTCACTGACACAATATCAGTTAAAGCTGTACTTTTTGTATTAGTCTGGGTCACTGACACAATATCAGTTAAAGCTGTACTTTTTGTATTAGTCTGGGTCACTCACACAATATCAGTTAAAGCTGCCCTTTTTGTATTAGTCTGGGTCACTGACACAATATCAGTTAAAGCTGTACTTTTTGTATTAGTCTGGGTCACTGACACAATATCAGTTAAAGCTGTACTTTTTGTATTAGTCTGGGTCACTGACACAATATCAGTTAAAGCTGTACTTTTTGTATTAGTCTGGGTCACTGACACAATATCAGTTAAAGCTGTACTTTTTGTATTAGTCTGGGTCACTGACACAATATCAGTTAAAGCTGTACTTTTTGTATTAGTCTGGGTCACTGACACAATATCAGTTAAAGCTGTACTTTTTGTATTAGTCTGGGTCACTGACACAATATCAGTTAAAGCTGCCCTTTTTGTATTGGTCTGGGTCACTGACACAATATCAGTTAAAGCTGTACTTTTTGTATTAGTCTGGGTCACTGACACAATATCAGTTAAAGCTGTACTTTTGTATTAGTCTCGGTCACTGACACAATATCAGTTAAAGCTGTACTTTTTGTATTAGTCTGGGTCACTGACACAATATCAGTGAAAGCTG